CGAGCAGAAGGTCCCCGGCGTCCGCCTTCGCCAGGACGCCCTTGATGCAGTTGCCCAGGTAGCCGTCCCCCACTGGCGGGTCCAGGCGCGCGCAGGTCCGCCAGGAACACCAGGTACGTGTCTCGTTGGATTTGAATCTCACCACCACGCATTGAATTTGAATTGAATTCGCAGCAAATCAGGATCGAACACGAACTGCAAGTAGATGAATCTCCGCGGCCGGCCGGGTATATAAAAAAAGTGATACTTCACGCGTCTATCAACGTGAAAAAACCGATTTGTCCTTTTGTCCTTGCATACAAAAAAATTATTTCTTGTGATATGTGGATCTGTGATCTTGTGATTTGTGATTGTCTGGAGGTAGAAGAAGGCTGAAGGTAGAAGGAGGATGGAGGCCGTTGGATTTTAATTCTACGGTGCAAAAAAATTCATGTGTTAAAACTGCATAAAACACATGGTTGTTGAGTAGACAGACTCTAAAATAATGGGCGGCTATATATGTGCATTCTCGGAAGCCGGAATATTCATATTCCCCCTCTAGAAAACGCAATTGGTTAGGAAGGTAGAGTATTATTACAGGTACATCCATCCAAAAAAGATGCAATTCTAAGTTTGGATTGAGTCAAACTTTCTTAAAGTTAAATATGTTTATGAAAAATATTATTATTATTTATGACTACAATTAGGCATACTTCGAAAATATGTTTTATAGTTTCTGGTTACTTATTTAGTATTATAAATGTTAGTGTTTTAAGAATTCTAGATTCTCGAAAAATAAGAATTTTTTTTTTGAACGACGAGGTAGCAGTATCAAGCTGGTACAGTGGCACTAGACTAGTCCATGGGTTTGGATGGGGCTGATGACATAAACCTGATTAGATAGAGCCGACCTAACGCTGCTACCGGTGAGGCCTGCACTGTACCTGACATGACATAAGAGGGGGTGCGGGATTGGATTGGATTGCACCATCTGCCTGCAAATAATTGGCTGTGGGAATCAGGATAATCTGGTGGCTTATTGGGTGGTGGTTCCTGGCTGGGGGTTGCTAAGCTGTTATTAGTATATGATGGCTTGGCTGCTTGTGCTTGGCCTTGGTCCCCATCACTTGGATTTGGATAGGTAGGAGACGTAGGAGGACAGTTGAAACCACCGGGCAGGTCGCTCCGGTGGCCGGTGGGGGCTCCTGCTCCTGCTGGTGTCTGCCTGCCGGCGGCTGCAGATTCTCCTCCTCTCTTTTGGCATTGATTCTAGGACATGGTGCAGCTGACTGTCCAACATAGAGTAGCAATCAGATCAATGTATACATACGGCAATGGAATCAGAGAGAGTATATATAGCTGACAGACAGCTGCACTTTCACTTGCACTCAGCAGTGGCGGTCTTGTGGTCAATGGATATTCACAGTCCAGTTGGACAATTGTCAGGCACTGATATTCATCCTGTGTGTCTCCCTATCAACACAGCAATCAGAATGTACATATACAAAAAATGAGAACATAGTTTAGATTCCAGATCATTACGAAATTATGGTAGCAAATAGAGAACTAGAGCCCCTATCAGTGTGTCTCCCTACGACTATCTGCATCATCACGGGTATCTGCATATTTCTGTTGCCATTTGCAAGCAAGCACCAGACAACAGCCAGTGTTTCCCTTCACAGGTACAGGTACACCAACACGAATAATGCTCAGGTATGGCATCGGTATCCTCAACGGGCAGGGAATTGGCTGGCACTAACGACTAATCTAACGCAAGTGCGTTGGCGAGACTGAATAGGCCAAGTTGGCGTGCCATCGAACTGGCAGCTAGCGCACATGCAATGCCACACTAGCTCATGGCCTACAGGGGGCGCTAACAGAAACTGAACTGCATCACGCATCGAAATCGCTGGGAGCGCGTTTATGATTGGAAGTGGATTAGAGCAGCAGTAATCAGTAAAAAGCTACAGTATCTGCTCTTGGAACAGCGGACGGCGACTTCCTTTTGCCTTGGGTGCTTGGGCCTCCGGGTGGTTCGTTCCTGGAGCAGGGAGCAAGCAACGACGCGCGCACGCCGACGCCGTGGCCCGGCCGCCCGGGGGAAGGGGCGCCATGTGAGGCGGCCGGTGGTGGGCCGAGGAGAGAAGTGCCTCGTGCTGTCGGAAGTTGACCGGAGCACATTCGCGACGCGCAATCATTCCGGAACTCGGATTTGCAAATGAACGGTCATTTACTCGTGTGATGTGACGCCCGCCGGAAGTCAACGCCTGCGATCTGGGTGAGAGCAGTCAATGTCTGTGATCCGGGTGAGTCGAACGTACACCCGGTCGTGGCGTAAAAGAACTGTTGAACATCAATTCATCTAGATTTGAAATTGAACCTATACATTGAAAAATGAGCAACAAGAGAGAAGATTATGGCCACTGTTAATAGTCAGGTTATTGCAGGGTTTTTTTTCTTTCCCTGGAGCACCAAACTCGTACGCACGACCACGATTTGATTAGTCAGTTCGGCAAGCTCTAATAACCGCAACGAAAGAAACTCCTTGCCGCGGAAATGAATAGCCATTCACAGAATAATAGTAAACCGCCGGGAGCCGGGACCACGACAACAACACGATATAGGCCAGAACATGTAAACCAGAAAATGGTTTACGAGAAGAGCACAACCCTCAACCCGCACGTCCAACAGCAATACAGATTCAAGATTACAGAAATTTATTGATTTCTGTTGACGGTACCAAAAAAAAAAAAAAACAAGCCACTGTCACTCGTATTAACCATCAGGAGTTCTTTGAATGTCCGAACTGACGAATTCTAAGTGCAAAAATTGAAAAAGGTGATCCAGCTATAACAGACTAAGTGGGCTCTTACAATTACCATTCAGAATAACAAACAACCCAGCAACAGGTCACCTTACAGCAGATGTCAAAAACCAAAACTATTATCGAAATGTATAAGAGAACCGAAGTATCAGACCAATTTCACCAACACGCCTAGGCAGAATCAAGAGCCGAGAACAAGAATCAGGATAACACCGCTGTACGTGCTGGCGAACCCTCTGAACTGCTAACTCTATCATTCCCGGCAAGCAGCAGAAAAGGTGTGTACAGAACTGGCTGCAGGAGAAGGCCACAAGGTTTACATTATGAAATTATGCCTTGTCTTGATCATACGCTTCAAAGCCGCAAGCCAGAAGTTGCACTCATCCCAGTCACTTGTTGTTAAGAGTACTTGACACCAACATTGTGCAGTTGCAGATAGTTAGAAGTCAAGGAAGAACTGATATCCAAACTTTCAAAAGAACATGGAGAAGACAGACGCTACAGAACCTAAAATTTAGTCACCCCAAACCAAATAGGGCCATAGTAGTAAGTAACATGCTAGGATATACTTGTCACCCAAGCGTAGTTGGATTTAGGGCATATTCGAATCCTTAGCCAAACCTTGCCTCATATTACTAGGCAAGGAAATCAAAATGTAGGTTAGTGTTTGGATCTCTAGCACATTTTCTCGTACCCCAGGCTAGCCAATTTGGCTCTCTCACCCTAGCAAGGTAAGGCTAGCCTGGCCTGGCAAGGTGAGATGAGACAAGCAAAGGAACCAAACTGACTCTTCATCGTTTGAATTGTCATCTATTTATTCATTGATGCAACTATAGAGACATCTAGTCATAGCACTAGGGCGCAGAGGTAAAATGCAAACGTAACCGATGTGAAGATCTGCCGGATCAATCTTAAAGTTAACAATAAATTAAAAGCTAGAATCATAGAATCTACATGGATAAAATCCTAGCTCCACATCTCTCCACTTCCTTTGAGGCCATATCTAATGGCACCGCCACTGTTGATGCCGTGTGTCACGAGCTGTGCGAGCCTCTACTTTCATATGCTCTTCAAATGTGTGTTTTGGTGAGAAGATCGTCGCAAATAGAACAAAGAAAGAAGCCTTTAAATTGCACTTGATACATTGCCAAGAAATAAGCCTTTAAAACAGAGAAAGGGCTCGAGAACTAAAAAACCACAAAACAAAATGAGAACACAGCACGATCGAGCCCATTTTGATACTCCAGGCCTGTCTGACACCCTTGACGAGTAGAACCCGGGCCACAAGCCCACAAACTGCAGGCCATCCTGGTCGGAGTCTGGCCCATTACTCAATCATCAGTACGTACTAGCTGCAGAAGGCACAAGGCAGAATGGTCGTCGACCGCCGTACTGCACAAGCTACTCCTGCATCCCAAATCGTTAGACATTTGACTTTTTTGTCCCAAGTTTGACAATTCGTCTTATTAAAAAAATTATGTAAATATAGTCAAATTTAAATCATTCTTGAAGAATTTTTATTAATAAACCAAACCACGACGAAAGAAGTGATATTTTACACAAATTTTTGAATAAGACGAGTGGTCAAACTTGATATAAAAAAGCCAAACGTCTTACAATTTAGGATGGATTGAGTAGCGTGCATGGGGTGGCAGTGCGCGGTGGCAGTGGCACGTCTCCCAGACTTCAGTTGTTGCATCTGCGTTGCACCGTGGCGGCATGGCACAAGCTAGCGTGCATGGGGCGGCGTGGAGCTCAGCCGCTCACAACTCACACATGCCCGCGCGCTCGGACTCCAGTGGCATGCATCCATGTCTGCGCAGCAGTCAGAAGAGTGTACGTAGTAGACGGCGTCAGTACGCCACCTCGCCGGCCACACGGTGCCGACCTGACAGGGGCGCGCGCTCTCGAGTCCCAGGCTACTGCCGTGGCGTGGCCAGCCGCGCGGCCGCCACGTCGGCCGAGGCCACCCATCCATGCATGCGGCGCACGGGAACGTGGCATGCCGGCGCGACGGCACGAGCGCGCCCCCGCGCCATGCGTCGCGCGCGCGCCGAGCCCGGCCCGCTCGCCTTCTATATATAAGCAGCGCCTCGCGGGTGGTCTCGCTTCTGGTCTGTGGCGAATTGGATCGCGGATCGGATGGAGAGCTATAGTCAGCTAGCACTTGGAGAGTGGAACGCCCCCGAGACCGACCATGGGAGAAGCGTGCAGAGACGCGGCGGCGGCGGGCCGGCAGCTGCGGCAGGACGAAGCGGGCGGCGGCGGCGGAGGGCGTCACGCGGAGAATGAGCTCGTCGGCGACCCGACCCACGACCCGGCCGTCTCGGCGAAGCTGTACGAGGACGTGCCGGCGATGCCGATGATGGTGCTCAACCACATCTCCCGCCTGTGCGAGTACGTCGATGCCTCCGTCCGGTTCTACGTCAAGGCGCTCGGATTCGTGCTCATCCACCGCCCGCCCGCGCTCGACTTCTCCGGCGCATGGTGTGTACGGACCATATATATACTTCGCTTCTCCCGCGGGCCGCCGACTTGTCCGAACGGAGCAGACATACCGCCGCGCATGCGGTGGCATCTCCTGCTGTTGGTTGCAGGCTCTTCAACTACGGCGTGGGAATCCACCTCTTGCAGCGCGACGACTCGCGGAGGGCCCCCGACGTGAAGCCCGGCGGCGAGACGGAGCTGGACCCCATGGACAACCACGTGTCGTTCTAGTGCGAGGACATGGGAGCCATGGAGCGGAGGCTCCGGGAGATGCGCATCCGGTACATGAAGCGGACCATCAACGAGGAGGAAGGGTCGCCCATCGACGAACTCTTCTTCAGGGACCCCGACGGCTTCATTATCGAGATCTGCAACTGCGAGAACCTCGAGCTCGTCCCCGCCGGCGCGCTCGGCCGCCTCAGGCTGCCCCGCGACCGCCGCAACCCGCCCGTGCGCATGGTCGCCGGCGGCGACGAGTAGGGGCCGGGCGTGCGCGCCCGCGTGACCTACCAGGCCAGCAGCCCAACCAAGTTAGTTTGTGGCTAGTAGACTCGCCATAGGCCCGTAGCGGGCGCTTATGCTGGATTCTGGGCCATGTTTCGCGCCGAGAGTTCAAGTTTTTAGATTCGTATATACATCTATATATATTTATAATGCCTAATTTTTATATTAAAAATGCAAAATTTCTCTCTACACATTTTTTTTGTCCGACTCTTCTCTAACTAATTACCTTAATAAGGAAACTGTCTCCGTGTGCAATCCTAATCAAATAGATTTCTCCGGTTTCAATTTCTTGTGTCGGCAAACAACAATGCCCTGGCTGTACGTGGACCATGGATAGGTAATGGTGTTGGCGTCCGTTTCGGTTTTTGCCCTCCACGTACATCACTTTCCTTTCGAAATACTTCTATTTTTGTATTTTTTCATAAATATAAATATCATAATAAATGATAAATATAATAATTACCATCGATAGGAAGTGGTGTTGGCGTCCGTTTAGGTTTTTCCCTCCACGTACATATTAAGAAACGATAAATATAATAATTATGGATCTTTATTTTTATTTTTTCATAAATATAAATATAAATATCATAATAAATGATAAATATAATAATTAGGATCTTTGTGCCCTCGACTCATTTCTGAAGAAGTAGAGGTTTTCACCATCAAGTTTTTACTGTAATTTTGATTAGAAATAAAATATATTTTATTATAACTTACCGAGGAGAAAATATTTTTGTTCTTAGCATTGCGAGAAAAAAAGTTTATTAGGACCTTATTTTAATTTGAAACAAGCTTAATTATATATTGTCATATTATTGCCAACATTTGCTTATATTTTGGAGGACGTCATAGAATAAATTATAGCTCTCAAATTTTATAAAATAGAAAAAACATATAAATAGGTATATAATATTTTTTTCTCCCGTTGCAACGCACGATCACGTTGCTAGTCTGTACTAGTTCGGTTTTGCTTTTGTTATCATGAGACTAGTAACTAGGAACAAAGCAGGTTTAGGGCATGTTTTGTTACCCCACTTTAGTTACTAAACTGCTAAATACACCGACTAAAAAGAGACTAAAGTAGTTTAGTCACATTAGTCACCCAAGAGTAGCTAAAAGTGGGCTAAAGTGCCCAGTAGACAAGGGCAGTCTCTTATTATTGCTAGTCCCCCACCCTTATTTGGGTATTTATTAGATGTAGTTTGATCTTTGTTGAACTGCTTTAATAGTCTTTAGTTACTTTTAGTCACAGGACCAAATATAAGTGATTAAAGTTTAGTTACTAGTTTTAGTAGCTAAATTTTAATGAAGGAGAACCAAACAGACCCTAGTACGTGCGTCTGGGTCACTGGGAGGCTGCGATCTAGACAGCCCCGTATAACCGCCGACAGAATCAGGTAACACGATTTTATACGAGGTGATGGTTTTTTTATCGAGAAGAAATGATCATCGAGGTGAAACCGAGGGTTGCCAGCAAATTGCACTGCATCCATGGGAATAGGGGAAAAAAAGGAAAGGTGGAATTTATGGGAGTAGGAAAAAAAAGAAATGTAGATTTATTTGGATTTGGGGACTGAAACTCTAAATATGAAAAAATGGATCTACACCAATATTTTGATTAGTCTTGAATCCTTCTTTAAAAAGTAAAACTACTTTGATCCTTAAACTATATCGATTCTTAAAATAGATACGATCTGCAGTAGAGATCCTCTGATCATGCTTTTTGATTTCTCATAATCAATCCTTCTTTTCAGTTAGTGCCACATTGAGCAACACTATACGGTACTGCAATCAGCTCAATTTCGGATGGATAAACCTAAATTGTGGGGTATGAATTCTCGGTCACTTGGGAAACTTTTATTTGGTTGATTGATTAATTGATTCTTCATTTCTTCTTGTGGGACCAGAGTCCAGTTAACGGAGCAGGGCTGGGCCCAATTCGCGTTTTCTGCTATAGGTTTTGCCCCTTCTCTTCCTCTCTGCGCCGGCGCCACCAATGGCAACCAGGGGAGGACGCGGTGGCAGGGGAGGACAACCGGGCGAGCCCGGACAACTGGGCCTAGGCCAGGGCGGTGGCCTCGGCGGCCTCGGCGGATCCATGTTCGGCCCTCACACGACGACGGCGGCACTGGCGGCAGGGGAGGCCGCGGCGGCAACGGCGGCCTAGGAGGCAACGGAGGTCGCGGCGGCGACGGAGATCAAGGCGGACCTGGCCAATGGGGCGGGGCGGGGCGGGGACGCCGGGTGGAGCAGTCCCCCGTTGTGAACAGCGCCCTCGTCGCTGCAGCGGCGTAAACGCGTGGTGGGCCGAGCGGAGGCTATCTGCATAGGCAGGAGGAGGAGCAGCTTGACCAGATACGAAGATCTGTTCGGTGTGATCTAGTAGAACTGTCGATGTCGTGGTCAACGAGTTTTAGCTCGTTTATTTGTGCCATGGTTTATTTTTCTCGAAGCATCATCTTGAAAGTAAAAATTAGGGTGATTTAGATTCATGCCATTATAATTTTCGATGTTCGGAGAAACGTCATTACTATTCGTCTATTTTCAAGCATGCCATTATAATTTTTTGTTTCCCACAAATATGCCATAAAATACGTATGGACACGGCCTGGTCCCAGCTGCAGGCGTGTACGAAGACGTATACTTCATCGCAGCCTCTCTCCCCTGAAACTGATACGCGGGCCCCACATGTCATCTTCTTCTTCCTTCTCTCCTCAACTTCCCTTGCTGAGCACGTTGATGGTGACGGCGAGAAGCAGCAGCAGCACGCGGGTGAGCGGAGCTCGCGGCCTGGGCGGCGCGCGGAGGACGCGGCGCAAAGAGCTCGCGGCCGGCACGGAGCGGGCGAACTGGGCGGCGCACAGAGCACGTGGCCAGGCTCGCGAGCGTGAGGGCGAGCTGCTGCAGCGGGCGTTCGAGCGCGCGAGCGGGAGCGGGGGCGCCGGTGGCGAGGCGTGAGCGGCCGCGGGCCATGTCTGCCGGCGTCTGGGAGAGGCCAGGCCGGAGCTCCTGCCAGCCATGGCGTCGGTGCGGGAGGCCGAGCTCATGAGCGTGAGGGAGAGCTGCTGCAACGGGTGTCCGAGCTTGCGAACGGGAGCAACGGCACCGGCGGAGAGGCGCGAGCGGCCGTGAGCCATGGTTGCCGGCGTCGAGGAGAGGCCTAGCCGGAGTTCCCTCCGGCCATGGCATCGCGGGAGAAGGAGCGTGAGCAGGAGCGTGAGTAGGAGCAGGCTTGTGAGCAGGAGCGGTGGCGCCGGCAGCTAGGCGCGAGGGGCCACGGGCCATGGCATCGGTGTGGGAGGCTAGGCTCGCGAGCACGAGCGGCTGCTGCGGGCGGGTGGGCTCGCGAGCAGGAGTGGCACGCCGGCATCGAGGCGCGAGCCGCCCAGGCCGCGAGCTCCGCTTGGCCGCGTGTTGCTGCTGCTGCTTGGCCGTGTGCTGCTGCTGCTTGCCATCGCCATCGACACACTCAGCAAGGGAAGATGAGGAGAGGAGGAAGAAGATGACATGTGCGGCCCGCGTGTCAGTGACAGGGAAGAGAGGCTGTGATGAAGTATACGTTTTAGTATACGGCTGCAGCTAGGCTCAGGCCGTGTCCATACGTATTCTATAACATATTTGTGGGAAATGAAGAATTGTAATAACATGCTTCAAAATAGATGAATAGTAATGGTGTTTCTCCAAACATCGAAAATTATAATGATATGAATGCAAATAACCCTAAAAATTATGTTGGACGAACACATCTGACAAACAAAGTTCATCAGGGGGTTTAACTTGTTGATCGCCTGCGCCTGAGCTACTACTGCTGTGCGCAAAATAAAGTGAGATGGCCCTAGAGGCTGATGGTGCCCCCGGAACAAGATCGTCTGACGAACGTCGGACGGAAGTGCGTTCGTTCCCAAATCCAACGCTAGCTCCTTCGCAACACATTGAAAGGCAGGATTTTAGCTATTGCGGCGGCCACGTATGCAGGCTTCCATCAGGGACGCGATCCACGGGAGGTCGCAACAGGATCGTCGCCGCGGATGCGAGCCGCATAGGGTCATCCCGCCACAGATTGGCACGTCTCCGAGCGCGACCAGCAGCAGGCCCAGCTGCTTCGCAACCTCAGCCACCGACCCAATTTCAAATGCTAAATTGATTGTTCAATGCGCATGACCAGCGTCAGTTGGATAATGTGACTAAAATTTGCTTTAGATGCGGTAGGCTCAGAGTGTTGCGGGTGGAGGTTCGGCCTACTGGCCTAGTCTCACCAACATCGCGCCCTTTGTTGGTGCATGGCGGCGCTGCGGCGCTCAGTCTCACTTGTCCATCATCTCTCCCATCATCTCCTAGAAACTCGTGAGCTGCTTGGAGAGCTTGTCCACCTTGGAGTCCACCCCCATCAATAGAGGTCGCCATCTTCTGTTGAAACTAGAAAATCTTGGGGCGCCAGTTCGTCAAGAACACCGAGAAACAAAAATTTGTCCCCGATGCAACTCGGCTCTGGATAC